AATTTACAAATAAAAAAGACAAAAAATTAAAAAAAAATTTAAAAAAATATTTATTAAATAAAAAAAATTATGCAGTACAATAAACAAATATTTCGAGAAAATAAGTAACATACAAATAATAAAAAAATATAGAAACACATAACTAAAAAAATTAAGATGTTACAAAAGGGACAAGTAGAATTAATAAAACTATATATATAATTCAAAAAAAAAAAATAACCAAATAACGTATACAAAAATTAAAAAATATATAAAAATTTGGCTGCATTTCGAAATCGATAGAAATACATAGTTGTGCAATCGAAAGAAAGTAGGTACAGCCTTTGTCTCATACGACACATCTGCGAAGAGACGTAGCTTTTAACTTTTTAACTTAGCTGCGCTTTCGATAAAACTCAAATAGAAGCAATTAAAACAACTATAATGAAATCATTAAATTTTTTTGTTGATTAAGACGTAAAAGGAAATGATGTTCAAATATTAGTAAACGCCGGAAATGGCAAAAACTTTAATTAAGATAGAAAACTAATTCATATCATTACACTTCACCGCCTCATTTGCAATTCAATACTCAGCTAAAGCAAACCGAAGCGATTAAACGAATTTTAATAACAACATGGAAACGCTCACCCACTCACTCAGTCAACTAATTACTCACCCAGCAAACAATAGCAATAACAATAACGAAAGTAAAAAAAAAAAAATTTGAGAAAAAACTTAGGAAAAAGTGAAGCCAACAAACTGTACTACTCACCGACTTAACGCATCACTTACTAAAACCGCTAATAACCAATAATATGTGAGTGTGTCTCACTGAGAATGACAGCAACTCAAAGTTGAAATTTGTTCTCTAAATTTCAGCACACCACCGACATTTGGTCAAACGAACAATACTAAACCAATGAGCGACACACGAACGCCTAAGCGCTGCACAAACGCTGATAATGAGCAATGAGTTGTAATGATGAAATGATGAAGTGAGAAGGGGCAATGCTGCTCATCGAAACGAAAAAGCAAGTAACTGTAAATAAATTTGAAAAAGCAGTTGAGACCTGCATACGGATATGCGCCGATGAGTGAGAGTGAAGCRTAATTGAGCGCTGCAATAGATGAATAGACACTCGGCTGTGATCACAAGTCAATGAGTGGCGACAAAAACACGATTGGGCAAATGGAAACTGYGCGACAAAAACGATAGTAAGCAGGAAAAGCAAGAAAAAAGTAGAAGACGGAAGCGCTGGCCCCAAAAGCACGAAATGAAAGTGTAAACGAACGACAAAAAAGCAACTAAACGAAAACAAAAGCAGAGGCGAAAACTCAGCCACATAATCTTGCCAATACCAAGTACCCAGAACMTAGATAAACTTTCGCGTGCGGCGACCAAGCGAAATTCGTATTTAGTACCTTCCGTCCAATCAACAAYCACACGAGTTGATAGATCGCGTGCAAAGCAACCATTTCGTGCAACAAGCGGTAATTACGACGGTTACACCATTGGTGCGAAAGTGGTGATTTGCGCGCATGCGCAGTATCAAACAAATTGCACCAATAATACGAAAATACGCGCTAAAGCGACAMAAACGTAGAAACTCAACATTAATAACGAAAATTTATAATCATAATGGCTGTGCAAAATCAGAACTTGCCACCAAAACCAYCGCATTTGACCGCAAAAACCGCMACAGGCGCAACCGCAACAAACACACATATGAACGCCACACAACCGTTGGCGAAAACACGCACGAAATTCGGTCAAGCGGCAGCAGCAGCAGCTGCAACTGGAGCCGCCACCGAATTGGGGCATAACACACAAGTATCGGGTGGCGCTGGTGGTGTTTCGATGATGTCAACGCCAGCGGGGGCAACGGCGCCGACAGCAGTTCCGAATGGTGGTCCGCGCGTGTCATTCAATCGGGATGTGCATGTTAAACGAATCGGTTAGTAAGCTTAAATACTTACTTTGTTTAAGACCTAGTTTACGAAAGAAGAAGAAAATATGTTAATTTCGGTTGCACTGAAACTATAATACCCTTCACAAACATAAAATATTCCTTACAAGGATTTGATTTCGATCGGTCGATAGCGTGCCTTTAATAGCTAGCTCATCAGCTTTACAATTTTCTGCGATTCCKCTATGGCCCGGCACCCATACAAGTCTTATCACAAATACACTCGTGGTTAGGCATTCCTAGACCAACACTGAATGCACTCTAAGTGAGTTCAAGGCTAGTATCGTCGTTCTGCTATCTGAGTGAACGGCTTTTTTCCACCCATAGCTCACTCGTTAGTATATGGGCAGAGAAGCAGGGCCAGAGTTTTGTTTGGCGACTCCATGATCTAAGTGAACCGGTATGAAGTCAAAGTGTGTGCGGATATCTGAGTGTTAAGATACGTGTTTCTTAAGAACGCAAAATCACTAAGTTTAAAGTACACTTTTACAGCCATACATCTTCCGACGAATTCTACGGGCACTATGTTCAAAAGGGCGTTAAGTGCCATGGTATGAGTGAACCTTAGTATACAACACCAAAGATGAGTATGGCCCGTTGAACGCTCTCGAGTTTCTGTGCACGTGAAGTCTTTTCTAGAGCCCTCCACCTCATAAAGACAAAAGGGACTCGATCTGAACAATTTCTTGAGAGATTGCACCATTGTATTAGGTAATAATCCATGATCAGATGTAAACGGTTTCCATACAAGAACTGCATTCCCATCGTTCAGTTTATATTAGCAACTATATACTATAGCAGTCAGATATTAGCAGTTCCCATACTAGAGCAACTTCTTTGAGAGAATATGAAGTGTTTAATACTCATATCTCAAAACTGAAAGTTCGCGTTTATACAAATAGAGTTACAAATGAAGGGTGCTTTTTTCATTTTAAAATCCAAACAATTCCTTCATTTCCTTAAGTCAATCCATATCATTATGTAAGGARAATGACTTACATTGCTTAACATGCATGCATCTTAAAAGCGTTCTCGAATTCTTCGCCTCACACTCTGGCTACCATCAGCTCAGATAAGATTAATTTTGTAYYCRTCCGARAATATAATGTTCTCCCATTCGTCAWAGTTCTACATTTYTTGSTACTTAGTCCACGCTCGCCATTTTGACTTCATTTTCGTAGTGAGCAGAGGCTTTTTTAAGGGTCTGCAAGATTTCAGACCCATGTCATTTAGTTTACTTTGAATTGTTCGAATGCTTCACATGCTTTTAAAGATGCCAAGTAGTTTCTCTCGAAATCTTGAAGCAGGGGTAATACGAACCTTGAGGCATAACTGTTTTAAATGTCTCTCTTGGGTCTTCATCGGTCGCTCGAGGTCTTCCTTCATAAATCCGGCCATAAAATGATATCAACTGGTCACATACTTTTAAAAGTTGTCCTACTAATGCTCTATGACATTGCAATCGTCTAGAAATATCAACATTCGAGTCCCTGGACTCCCAAGTTCATTTTATTTTTCAAAAGTTCAGTTTCGCTTTTTCTTATTGACTGAAATTTCTTAAAATATGTACTCCAACTTAYAACAGTTTTTAGTACACATAACTAAGCATCTAAGTGTAAGAAGTTAATGTGATAGATCCAGAATTTACAAATAAAAAAGACAAAAATACGGGTGTTGCGCTAATATTGTCGCCGACTGTCTATACTTAACGCGGCAAAGAAAATACTTTTAATTTCCGATATGTGGAGGTTTTTATACGCCGGACAGAGTATATTAACTTTGTCACGAAATTTGTTACATCCAAAGGAAAGTATTGGATACAAATTGGATTGGATGGCAAATATATACAAATTATCAGCATGACGAGCTGAGCCCATTTAGTAACATTCTTCTGTCTGTCTTTYTATTTTTACGAGAATTAATTCCTCAGTTCTTGAGATATTGATCTACAATATTGCATACTTTCTTTACTCAACAAAAAGTCGAAACACTATAGCAATTAGCTGCCATACAAACTGAAGGATCAAAACTAAGTTCTTGTAAGGAATATTTTGTATTTGTGAAGAGTATTATAGCTTCGATGCAACCGAAGTTGGCGTTCTTTCTTGCCACAGATTTCCGAAGTGTAAGTCATCTGCATATAYATAATTTTACTCAAAAGAAGGAAAGTTGATTGGCCTAAGAACCATATTTTTGAAGGTGGTGTGGTGTTGTTAAAATATTATTATAACCAGCTTGGATTCGCCTAACAAGTACCTTTTCTCGCAAAATATTATTATTTTTTAATTTATAAAAGTAACAACAAAGTTTAACAGATCGATTCAGTATTAGATAGTGGATAACACATTAAATGAGTATAACGGATAGCGCTTTTCATTCGATGCGGCGAGATGAACTAAATAGTTTGTGTCATCTAGATCACCCGGTTTAGCAGCTAATGTCTACAAGATGGTGTCACTTCTGCACTGAAAAGTGGTATTTGAGCGATTGAAACGTCCTTAGAGGGGTTATATAAGCGATTAATATCTTGGATTACTGTATACCCACGCGAATATWTGTATATAATATATTGTTTCATGCAGTTCACCCTGCTTAAATTTCTTTATTCGATGCCGCACTCTTCAAAGTTAAGACAATTGTTTCTTATATCCAAATATTTTTATAATCGAATAAAATATTTGTTTACAATCTATTTTATTTGAGCTTAAGCTTTAGTTCAAGTCTTAAAAAACCTATATGCACCTATAAGAGCACCTGCTGGTTTTACAGCATTCTTTATGCTCAAGTAACAAGCTTTATTATGTAACTGGAAACKAAATCGGATATTGTTTTTTATAGAAGGAAATTCTTTAATATACTTATAAGTCAAATACCGTTACTTTATATTTCTTAGGCGRCCTTCAAAAAACGCTAAACTTCTTAACGGCACTTTATGACCAAATAATTATCGCAACTAATATTTGCAATTAAATTCCAGCGATAATTGTGAAATATTTAACCTCCAAAAGATGAAGTGTTACCAGCTGGTAAAAAAAAAACAAGCATTCTTGTGCGAAATGTTAAATGTGTGAAAAAGATATGAAATCAGAATGCTGTGATTAAATAACGGCACATATATATACAGCTGTTGACAACTAATTAGAAACGACACCTATTTTAAAGTTGATTTTCCAAGAAATCATGTATATTTATTGTATTTTCTTTTATTTTATTGAAACATATGTTAAACCTAAACTCTAATGTTTAAAATTCGTTTTTGTTTTGAAAATTTTAACAAAAACATGTGGAATCAACAATTTGAGTGCGACAAMTAATTAGAAACGAAAATATTTTATCATTTTATCAACAAAAAATTATGATATTACAAAAAYTTGCTTACTTTCACTTAATATTTTGTTCATTATCTCTTTTACTTTAATATTGCCCCACATCGATTTCGAATTYACATTATAATACTCTAACAACGCGCCAATGGTGTAGCTTGCCATGCCATTCTAATTTCACCACAAAGAGCATTCATATTTGGGATATTTTTCGTGCATATAGTTCTTTTAACATCAACCAAAGATGTTCTATAGGGTTTAAGTCTGAGCTTGACGATTCCCACTCTAAAACATTGATAGAATTTTCATTAAAAAACTTTTGTGTCAACTTAAACGTATGCTATCTTATTTATAACAGGCAAATTTTACTCAGCCCTTCTCAACATGACATTTTTTAGGATATCGATGTATTTATCTTTGTTTAAAATTCCACCAATTTTATGGAGTGGACCAATATCATTACAGATAAAAAATCGCCACACCGTAATTGATCCTTCACCATACTCAACTACTCGTGAGATATAGCGAGGATCAAATTCTTGAAYTATTGGACGAYGAACTTACCTGGGACCATCAGGTTCTAAGCGATTGATTTTTGTTACATCGTTCCAAGCGACATACTTCCGTTGAATTGTTGTCTTAGACCAATAAGAATTGGCGCTCTGCTCGCTCTGGTYAACTTATCGTTGAAAAAGTCAGTGAAATTATGGAAAAGATTTACCCGGACCGTCGCATAAGCAGCCATGATATCACAAAACAACTTAACATTCATCAT